ATTGCTGAAATGAGTAAGTTAAAGAGTTTATTGATCTGACTAAAATTACTCACACAAATGTAAAGGCAGGTGCAGAACACTTCCTCCAGATTTTGCAAGGAAAATGTCAATGTATTTCTACCAGAAAGGTAGGGTGTCTTTCCTCTCCAGCTAAAGCAGGGATTATTCTCAGAAGCAGACCAAGCCACAGCTGAAACGTGTCCTACTGAAAAGCTGTTACTCCATTTCTGAATGGAACCAGCTTTAATAAATTACTTTTACACTTCTCATGCTCCCTGAGCTCATCCTCCCTCCAGTTTCAGACAGACTTGGTCATTCTGCTCTTCACATTTAAAGTTTGATCAGTTCGAGAGAGATTCTGTATTCAGGACACACAGTTCTTCCCGAGCAGATACCAAATCACCAGGAATGGAGACTTTCAACCCTTGACTTATTACAAGGGCTAAGGTCCTTAAAGAAAGGTCCTTGGCTAACAGGACTTCCAGCCTCAGCAGTTCTGCATGAGTCAGAAAACTACTGTGTGTGCAACAGCGAGTTAATTGGCCTCACTTTAAAAGGCTTTCCATAAAAGGAGATCTGATATTTTTCTGGCAATTTTAATCAAATAGGGTACATCGAGACACCAATTATCAGACAACAGCCTCTTTAGGTCTTGACCTTTCATACACTCAAGACTGATACGATGCACAGATATTACAGTTACTAAAACCGTTAAAAGGGCGTATATAATGTGCCTGTAACAAAGTTTTCCATGAAACAGAAACACCCCCCCTCCCTCCAACCACCCCATTTCTGGCTGTAACCAAACATACACAGCCAGGCTAGATTTTTGACATTCAATGGCTAACCGTTTCTAGCTGACTGTTAAGAAGTACCTTTCCAAGGCTCAGGTTTTTAGCCAATTCTGTTCATTATGTAGGAGGTCAAATGGCAGACCATGAAGTGATTTCAAACCACCCCTCTTATCAAATGCAGTATCATTAAACAAGCTTTCAGCAGATCTTCAAAATGAGGAGAGGTATAAATAAAAAATGCTTCACCTTCCAGGTGACACTTGAACAGATTTAAAATATAATTAGCACTTACTAAAATGACTACATAAATCCCAAACTGAAGTTACAAAGACTGAAAACTGTTAATCTTACACATACAAAAAATGTTTCAAACAGTTTTAAAAAGAGCAAACATGTTTTCAGGAACTGAGGAATACTTGGCACTCCTAAGAGAATGTAAGGAAAAAATACGTTGAATATTTAAGTAAAAAAAAATTCCATAATGTCAGAGGGGCTATATTAGGTTACACAAAAGGACCATCTAGAAGAACGTCTGGTCTCCAAAGAGGCCAAACGGATGCCTGGGAAAGGCTGTAAGGACAGACCAAGCACATATGCCTCCCGAGCACTCCAACCACTGGTGGCTCAAGGATTTCCTGAGCCAGATGTGGTTTCCATATAGTACGTAAACCTCAGTGAATTTGTTTCCATGAACTCGTTCAGCTTCTTCCCGAGCCCCTGCAGCTGCCCGGCGCTCACGGCACGCCGCGGCGCTCAGCCCCGGAGGTAACACAGCAACTATTCCCGCCCGCCTGGCTCCAGTCTGCTTCTTGCCAACCTCACTCCCCTCAACTTTGGCACTGGAACTGATCTTTTATCGTCTCTTATTGTTTACCTTCTCTCACATCACCCATATTCCATATGTTCATCATATTCTCACTTAATTTTCTCTTTTCCTGACTGAAGCATCCTTGTTTATTCATTCCCCACACGTAAACTGTTTCATGTTTATAACGAATTCCATCGCCTATCTAAACCTTTGCTTGTTTTCTTATCTATAGGATGGCAAGTGAAAATTGCACACTTATCCAAAACAGGGAACCTATGGATTTATACAGTGCCATAATGATACAGATAGTCATTTCCTAATAATTCCCAATATTTAATTTGCCTTTTTTGACCATTAATAAACATTAAGCTGATGTTTTCATGGAGAGGCATCTAACACAGCCCTAAGATCTCTTTCTATTGCATACTGATGTCACTAGCTTTTTTCTGCAGCAAAATTTTCTTAAAAAAAAAAACAAAAAAACACCAACCAACAAACCCCTGAAATCCCAACCCACTAAGTATTTAGAAATAACTAACACTTTTTAAAAAAGAAAGGCAGAGAGTGATCTCTAACAGTCTGATTTGTCTCTTTAACTGTTCCAATACATACAAATCACCATAAGGAAAGTACATATTCACTCAAGAACCTTGTTTGCTGCATTACTGTTGAGCTTGAAACAGCAGACTCAAAAATCCAGCAAAGGATTCTAAAGTAGACTCTTAAGGCCTTGAATTCCCCCTACAAAGAAAAAACCCCACATTTCCTTAAACCTCTAGAAAAACACCCAAATGCCCTGCAAGAGGGGCACTGTGTGCTTATGCATCATTGCTTTCTTATTTCTAAGTAATTTGAAACCTGACACTATCCAGAAAAATACAGAAAAGGCCACAGCTTCCTGCAATTACTACAATAAATGATATATCCATATTCAAAATCATGTTCTGTCAAGGTCTGATAAAGTATTTCATTTTCTGACAACAGATGAAATAGATACAGTGATCTGCAAGGCAAACAGCACTTCTTCTGAAGTAGAAATGCTTTTAGTTGGAGACAACTGCATTGTTAATCTTAAATTAATTCATTACAAATAATAGATGACAAAAAAGAAATATACATACAGTAAAAGAAATGTACATGTAAATGTCTACTAAAAATAAATTATTATAATAAAAAAATGGATTTCCTGGTAAGTAATTGGTCTGATGCTTTTCACTGTTGCCACTACAATTACTCCTTTTCCCACTGAATAGGCAAATACACAACCTATCGGACAGAGGAGATAAGCAACAGCTTGTCTTATTTACATCCAGGACACTAGAAACTGAAATTAGCCAATAACAAATACAAAGATTTCAGCTGCATTGCCAGTTTGCTTCTTGTGAACGGTCCTGCACAAGTCATTCCACAGCACAGGCGCACTTCTTCAGAATCAGAGGACTGAAAATTACCATACATGTAACAGTTGCAGTTCTTCTGGGGCAGAGGACAGAGACAGAAGAAAATTACAATGAATTATCAATCAATGTGAAGAGAGTCACAAGCTGGGTATGAATCCAATTCTCCTCGCTCGCACCCAGCGTGCGGTAATGAAGCAGCGCCAAGGGACGCGCCTGCGAGCTTTAAGCAGACGGCGTGGGGTGAGGGAGCCCTTCCCCGAAGGGCTGCAGCCGGACAGCCTGTCCGAGCCTGGTGGTTCACTCCCCGCAGACAGGCTCTGGGCACAACCAAAAGAAACTGCCCCTCTCCAGAGACCTTCTGGGAAACTTACGCACTTGATTCGTTCTGACTGCTTTGTTAGGTGTAAGTAGGTGGAGTGACTCCATCCAAGTAATTTTAAAACTATGTCATTACTAACTAATGTGTGTCAGGATGTTAAAGGAGGAGGGCAAGGACAAAGAAATTAATAAGGGTATCTGATTGAGATGGTAAAAAATTGCTTTTACTGAAAAACAGTCATCTGGCATATAAATATGAGAGACTAGCATTTTGATAAAACCACACAATTCTCTGAAGAAACAGCCACAGAAGCCAGTGATATTAGCATGCTGGTATTCCATCTTTATTGCTTCTGTCTCCCAAGCCACTCTTTCATTTCTTTCAGTGTATTAGCACCTTCACTTTCTGTAAATACATTTTGGGGATTTCTCTTCTCTACTTTTTTTTTCTTTTCTATTTCATTTCTATTTCTTCCTTTTGTCCCTCTTACGAGTCCACAAACTATAGCTATGCATGCTGATACTTTTCCAAAGAAAGAGCAAAACTACCCAGCCTTCCTCCCAAGCTTGTCTGCTAACCTCTAACACTCTTCATAAAAAATCCCCCCCCAAAAAAACACCGAAACAAAAAAACTCCACACAAAACTAAAACCAAACCAAACAAAAAACCCCAACACATAAAACCTCATAAAATAACTGTGAATTTCCTTTTGCACCAAGTTCTTTAATACCTTTCATCCACGAGGTTATTTACTCTGATAAAATCTGCAGGAGCGGACAGCAAATTGTTTTGGAAACATGATAGAGACATTTTTGTAAACTGGATCTGTCATAAGTAATATATAATTTTTGCCTATTATTATTGTTATTATCATTATATATATGTAATTCATTTAACAGATGCATGTTGTCTTGTTTTAGTTCAACTTAAAAAAGATACCCTGCTGCAACTGTGACAGCACACAACATACTTTAACTTAGGCACTGAACAAACATTTTGAGAGAAATGTATGTTTTCTGCTAAAGAAAAGGCAATGTCCTTAATTCAGAAATGGAAAGAAAAGTCAAAGAATGCTGTGTGATTTTAAGAACTCGTCTTTCAGAGGATATATCCTGTGGTGCATAACCAGATTTGAAAATAAGACACTTAAAGTGCATGCTCTATTAACAATTTACCAGTTTATCAGCTGATCTCTAACTCCACATTAATGGTTAAATGCAAAACAAAATTCTTGAAAAATACATTCTTAAAATATGAACTTGCCTTGGTTCAATTAAAACGGTCCACAAGAAAAGCCTCCAACAGAGCGTGCATTACTAGGGTTCAATGCAGTGACTTACTTTGAAAACAGGTTTTATGGCACGATGAATTCAAAAGCAAAATAATTTCCTAAGTAGATAAAGTTAAAATACTTTGCACATTTCTTTTGTGCTAGAAGCATTAACTCTTCCCATTCTGACGACATATGGAAGATGGTAAGTTCCAGTTGCCTTAACAGGCCACAGCCAAGACAGCATAAAACGTTAAAAATTGAAGAGCATGCTGGTGAAACCAAGGGTTCCAACTTTGAATTGCTAAGCCACAGCACACCATCAAATGTCACAGGAGTTTTAAGAAGCCTACAACTCTCAGGAGCATTCTCAAGAGGTAAAGATCAAGATAAGGAGATTATTGTTTACCTGCCAAGAAACGGCCCCCAAAACAGCAGTCGCGACAAGGCTGAAAAATACTAGCTGTTCCGAAATTAAACAGAAGTGACGCATTCCTTTAGATGCCATAACTCTGTCAAGGCTGTTGTTTTCTGCACGGTGGGTATAGTATACCTTGTGACAGTCATTTAGTTTTGTGTGAAATCCCCAAAGAGTTATAAAAAAAATCACATGACAGATCATCCAGAAAATTCCAAAAATAGAAAAGCCAGGTATCACAAAATACCAGAGATCCAAATCACGTAGTTTAAAGGCTGCAAGAATGAAAAAGATTAGTTCAATGACTCCAACTGAGATGACAGAAAGCCGCCTGCAAATTTTGCCACGGTACAAGTAGGGCTTCCATCGTTCAGTAACCGAAAGTCCACTGAAGTAAACATCGAGAAGGGGATCTGAAATCAGGCAGCTGAAGAAACATGCCAAGGCAAATGGGTTTGTGGGGATTTGCAGCGATGGAAAAAAGAGTAAGGATGCAATGGCTCCAAAAATTGCCAAATTTGGAATTGCCAAAAAAGACTTCATACGTAAGTCAATAATCAACATGGCCAAAGCCATGACCAAGAGAATAATACTCATAGATTTTTCTACCAGCATAGTTGTGCTGGCAATTGCAAATCCAACCAGCTCCAAAAATTCAACTGTTGTCAGCAGAGTTGGTCGATGATGAATACAACCACAAATCCTCTCGACCAAAGCACATAATATCCTTAAAACAATGGCAGAGAGGAGCAAATATTTAGTAGCTTCTTCTTTCACATCCGTTTTGAAGGCAGAATTATTAAGAAAACAGAGAAGGCCAAGCAAAAAACCAAACCAAAGATTGGAGAGGCTCAAACTTGCTGCTTCCATTGAAAAATAGTAGTACAATATGCTGGCAATTCCAAGAACAAAGAGTCCCAGAATAAATATTACCAAAATCAGTGCATCCGCAGTTTTTTCCCATCTGACATAAAGGCCCATGCAAATGGCAACCAGTAGGTTGATTCTGGCAAGATAGCCAAGGTATCTGACTGATGAGTGCATGTTCACTTCTCTGTTTGCTTCTTCGAGCCTTGTCATTGCTGCATAGAGACAATGACTAACACAGTAACGCAGTGACCTACACATGTAAACTGCAGTTAGGGGGTTTTACCCACTTGACTGAAAGAAAATATCTGGGTTTCATCCAACAAACACAATGCAACTGCCGCCTTCTGTAGTATCATTTCAGTAACAGTGGTCCAGAATGACTCAAGTCCTGGAAGAAGAATTAAAAAAGTTTTAGTGGCAAATAATTCCTTCTAATCATATACAGCATAAACATGACACATCCTTTCTCACCAAGGAGTTTAACATTTAAATAAAAAAAATACAATAAAGATCAAGTAAATGTGTTATTAAGTCATTCAAATCGGGGTCATTATTAAAACCAATATAAAATGGATTCAGCATAAATCTTATTTCATCATTTGAATAAGAGGAAAAGGTAAAACAAACCTGGCCCGTGCAGTTTTTCCACAAAACTCATCCATTACTATATTAGACATCCGTGGGTATCCACAGATTACATTATCTATATTAGATATCTGTGGGTATCCAAAATATTCCTATCATATCCATTACCTTCTAAAATAGTTTAATATTGTTTTAAAACGGTCTTACTTCACCACTACATTTGGAAAATTCTCACTTTATACTAAACTTTTCAGTGTTTTGCAAAACTTCTCTTTAGTAGTTAAATAGCTACAGGATTCACAAAAAGAACTTAACATCAGTCAATGAGCTTAACCCAGAGTAGATAAAGAAGGATATTATTATTACCTCAATTTCACAGGAGGAGAGTGGACACACAGATGTATCAACTGACTTGGCAACATTTTCAGAGACATTTAACGTAAAATCAAAGCCTTCATTTTCACACCCCTCCAGCCATTATTTTCCCCAACAAAAAAACCTCAGCAAAATGATCAGGATAAATATATTTAGAATATAAGCACCTCCTAGTCACATCCATTTAACAAATGCTTTTTAAAAAATATAGTATAGAAACGGATAGCAGTATTTTTAGGGGAATTTTGTAAGAAAACGTGGCTAGGCAGATTTCACTGGACATCATCACTGTTTTATGGGATAAGCTTCTTCCTGGTCTGAACTCACTCTTGAAACATGAGGACCACTGTAATCCTATTGGTGTTTAATCTTACGGCGTTTACACAGAAACAATACTACTAATTGCTACAATTAGAAAAAAAAGTCACTGGGGAAATTCTATTTCCATGACAATTCCCATTTCACTGCATTGATATACCTTTCTACTTATCACAAAGTTGTCAGAGGCACAGTTCAGAGCTCTCTAGTTAAAGGCAAAAAAGGTTTGTACTTTGAAGTCACAACCCTGTTCTGTAGGCAAGATGTGTTATATGTGACAAATTGATAAGAATTACTCAGAGAACAAGCTTTCTGTGAAACTACATGTAAAGAGAAACACATGTATTTCGGATTTTTGATCCTTTTGTGCCCGTAAACTCTAAACCAGGAGCCGCAGCACAAATAAAACAGAGCTTATACTTGCAGAGAAAATATGACCAAAAATAACAGATGGACCACAAGAAAGTACAAACCCAAGAAATTTGGCATCAGTATTTTTTCATCTCTAATTTTCTTCAAAAGTGTCACAAATTACAAAGAGCCCCAGAACAACTAGTCATCCAAATTCCCTTAGTTAAATCTCACTGAAATCCTGTGAAATATTTATATATATGTATAACTTTTGCTTTTAAAGTTAATAATGAAAAGTTTATCTAACAGCATGGTTATACAGGCTATGGGCAGACTTCCCAACAGGTAAGAAGACTCATACATAGTCTCTAACATTTTAAAAGTAATTACCTAATTGCCCATCTTACCAGGACTTCTGAAGAGTTACTGGTATGACAGAGCAACCAATGCTCCAAGAACAATCGGAGCTAGGTTATAGCTTACTGCTTTTATTTATAATGCTAGGGGAAGTATGAAAGGACACCTTGACTGAAACTCAAAACTTAGACTTTATCCCCTCTTGAGTTTTAAATTCTTATTTTTTTAAAACCAGTGAACAACAAAAGAAAAAGTGAACTGATTTGCCCACAAGCTTTGATTGATTTGAATATTGACACCAAGTGTAAAACCAGCTTGAGTAATTGGTATAGAGACAAACCAGGCCTAAGAAATCCTATTATTTAAATTACTTAAGTTTGGCAACATATATTTTCAAATTATGTTAAACACCTAACAACATTGCAGATATTACTTGGAATAACTATGCATGAAATATCTGTTTAACTGAAACAGAATACATACCGTACATGCAAATATTTATCAAATATAAAGCAAATAATTATTACATAATGCTGTTGCAAGTCAAAAGTTCTCTGGATTTCAACTGTGCATTTTCATCGTACTCATTATTATTAAAGTTTTATACATACAAACTTAATTCTGAGTTGCCTGGATGCTTAAGACCTTGTAATATTTCTCATCTCACTTGGTATTATACTTACTGTTCCTCTCAAACTTTCATTTGTCTCTACTTTATACTGATAACACAGCCCTAAATTAGCTATCGTGTTCCAGGTTGCAATACATCAGGTATCATAGCACCATCCACAGTCTCGCTGGTTTTTGGACTACAATCAACATCCGCTTAATGGACAGCTTCAACCGTTTTTTTCAACTCCCACACATGCCCTCCCCCACCCCCAGTTAACTCTCATTCAAACCATAAATACAGAGAAACCATTTCCCATCTCCTTCCAACCCACAGCACTGGCAGTGACCACTGCTATGCTGAAGCACACCTGCCGTGCCACCCTGCTATGTCGATCCCTGAGCCCTTCTGGAACCCCCCCAAACCAGGGGGCTAACACTATAAACATTCATTTCGACAACAGCCTCACGGAAGGCAGCTGGCTGCCTCATATGCGAAGGGCGGAAGCTCCTACCTAAAGCCTGGCTTAAAATTTTGCTAGGGTCACTGAATTATTTTCTGGTGGGATCGCTACACAAGCAAACTCCCTTGGCAGGCAAGCAGCCACCCTGACAGAAAACTACTCTGATGGTTTCAGCTCATGCCAAGCAGAGTTTTGCTGCTATCGCGTTGTGAGAAGCGGGAAGAGCAGCTCCTCTGCTACAGCCCCAGCGGGTGCTGGGGTGGGGAAACACACCTTGTCCCAACAAAATCTGCTCCAGCACCAAGTATTCACAAAACGACAGCTCGGACTGTGAATGCAACCTCCTCCTCCTGATCTTCCATTAACAAAAACAGGTGTCCTACTCACTCAACCATGCTATTAATCATTAGTCTTTCTCTAACCAAAACACATGGCCAACTTTTTGGTGAAAAGAAAAAAAGGTAGTGTTTTCATGATTAAAGTATCCCATCACACAGATGTTACCAAATAAATGTACCTCAGTAATTCAGACAATTTTAATGAGAAATGTCAGTATCTTATTTATTCTTTAAAACATAGCTATTTATTACTCATTTCTGTTAAGACTTTGACTGTTCAAAGACTGCTCCAAGTCTGGGGGAGGGGTGTGGGGGGGGTGTTGCATGTGTTTCTTAAACTAGTAGCTTTAAGTTTTCAGGCTGCAACATCTGAATTCTGTATCTGAGCAAACTACATTTAGATCCAAAACAACCAGAGTACGTACACCCATAAATGTCAACTTCTGTGAACACAATTTTAAGCAAAACCTGGCATCTAACTACAGATTTGGACACTAAGCTACTCAAAAGATTTCCTATACGTAAAGGAGCAGCATCCCCAAAGTAGTATTTACCATAATTTGTATATGAAAGTAGAAAAAAGAACTAAAACCCAAAGATGGCTCAGTGGTTTAACTGTAGCTGATTTGCAGCCCTGGTGAGGCCTATCTAAACTACTGAACCTGCTTCCCTCCAGCTTTAGTCTTCCAGTTTAGCACGCATTTTTTTTTTTTTTAAAAAAAGCAACTCTATGAGGGTTTTTTTTAAAAGAAAAATTCGTATTTATCTAACGCGCTAATACAGTAGGCTTAAACTTCAGCTGAACGACCCCGTCAGTTTTCAGACGTGAACCCGGCGCCCGTATCACGGCTGACCGGCGTCAGGCAACCGGCGAGCACCCGGTCGAAGCACCAGCTCCGGGCCGGGGCCCGGCCGTGGCAGTTTAGTGACGGCATTTGGCCCCGCGGAGCCGGCGCTGGCAGCCGCCGGGGCAACGCCGCTTCCCACAAGCTGCCGCTGCGGGCAGCGGCTCGCCGCAAGGCCCAGGCCCGGGCCCGGGGAGGCCGCGGCTGCCCGCCCGGCTCCCTTCGCCCCCGCCTGCCCGCGGTGACGGGGCAACGCCGGCCCAAAGCCCCGCAGGGCCGCGGGTCCCCGCCGTGCCTCCCACCCGCGGCAAGGCGGCGCGGCCCCGGCCCGCACTCACCTCCACAGGCGTCCCGGAAACTTCCCGCCCCCTGCCCGGCGCCGCCGCCATGTTGAGGTAGACCGAGGCGTCCCAGCTACGGGCCGCGCAGAGGCTCAAACGGCGCCGCGGCCGCCCGAGCGCGGCCGGGCCCGACCCGCTCCTGGCCCGGGCAACGGGGTTCTCGGTCGGGACGGTGCCTGCGCCGGTGGGGCGGGGTGGGGTGTAAGGGTGTTCCCATCGGCAACCCCCCCGCCGCCTCGCTTGCAGGGAATAGCGGGAGGATGGAGGTGACAGGGAAGAGTGAAAGCGCCTTCCCCCCCTCCACTCACAGAAAAACCGCCAGGTTAATAGGTGGGAAGAATGAAAAAAAAAAACCCAAAACACTCTCAAACCTACAAACACTGTGTCAGCTGGTGCTTAGGATACAGACGAGGGAAAGGTGTGTTTGGATCAGGACTGCACTGAAGCCTCTCCAGCCGCTCCCACAGTTGGCTAGCAGGAGCCTTCCAGGGAGGGGATTCCGGTCCTGGACAGCCCCGACTTCGCCCACAGCAGCTTTCGCCACCCTGGCATTCTCCAGAAGGCACGCTTCCTTGGCCATCCGCGTTTCACACCGCTTTGTGTTGGAAGTGCGTGTTTTGAATTGGCCCTTGCAGGCAGCCGGGCAAAAGCGGGAAGATTCTGGAGTTCGTAGCTCCGTTGCTTAGACAGGTGAAACAGGGGTAGTTCGATTTTGCAGTAAGTTTAGGCAGCTGCTGCCTACGAGCTCTCTGAACCGCAGGAGGGCTGGCCTGCTGTGGTTTTATGTCCTTTGTTCCTGTAATCCCTTCGTCACAACCAGCCCCTTCATCCCCCTCGTCAAGAAGCACTAGTGCAGACCGGTGGCAGCTGGACACACAAACATCTAAAATTTGACAATTTTTCCTGCCTCAGTTATTCAGACAACTGATTCATGAGAACCTCAGCCATCTCCAAAACCCTGAGCCCTCTTCAAATTTTAAATAAAACTGGCCAACAGGCCCAAAAGTTACAGAGTTACAGGGGTTAAAAAAAAAAAAAAAAAAAAAAAAAAAAAAAGTAAGAGGCTTTCCTTTAACAAGCAGAACAATAGAAATCTCGGTTAATCAGTAAATGTCACCTGCTTCAGATGTTTTACCAGCATCATGGACAACACTTAGTTGATACTGTATCTGTCTAACTGTGATTTAGGAATGCTCTTCAAGCAGCTATTTGTTGAACTTCTTGGTTAATATTTTACTTACAAAGTGAAAACCAAACCAAACCTAAGTTTCTGTGCAAGTTTGAGACGCAGATCCTTCTAAAAAAATCTTCCTGCTATTCTACAGGCACAAACCAATGAATAGAGGAAAACTGAAGAAATGAGAGCAAAGGAGCAGAAAACCTGCTGCTGATTCATGGCGATACAATTAAAAAGCCTTACAATGATCACACTTTTAAAGCAAGTCAGCAAGTCTCCCTGAAGCAGAAAAGGACAGAGATTCTGCAGGAAGCAATCCTGAGAACAGCTGTGAAACCACATTTTTTGATCTTCATTTTAAGAGAGCCAGTAAGAGACCAGAATATACCAGCTAGGCTCAGCAGTGCTAGGGCCACACTTCAGTTCTGCTGAAATCTAATTTTCTTAGAACCTGGATCCAAGTGGGTGCCTTGCATTTTCAGTTCTTTGGGTTTCTTTTCCCATTGCCATCCTTTCCCAACATCTCCAGTAATCATAATCACTATGCAGAAAAATACAGCAATGGCCTCAAAGGGCCAACATACAGTGGGGTGCTGCAAAGCTATTTCAGGAGAAGTTAAGAATATCTAGAGTGTGCTGGGTTTATGTGGCAGGGTGATTGGTAGTGGGGAAGGGGGCTAGAGCAGTGGCCCCTGTGAGAAGCTTCTCAAAGCTCCAAGTCAGACCCACCTGTGGCCAGGGCTGAGCCAATTAGTGATCGTGGCTGTGCCTCTGTGGTAAAGTATTTAAGAAGGGGAACCTGGGAGGGGGTTGGGGACTTGTGAGGAAGAGTTACAAGAAGGACACCTCTGCAAACACTGAGGTCAGTGGAAGGAAGGAGGAGGTGTGCTGGAGCAGAGCACCCTCTATCCCACGGTAAGAGGGCAGGATTGCCCAGTGTTGCCACCCCTGGAGGTCTGCAGTGGAGCAGAGGTGGACCTGGAGCCTGTGGAGGAGCCCCCACCAGGACAGGCAGTTGTGCTTAGAAGCAGCTGGGGCCCTGAGGGGAAGAGCGGCCCCCAGTGTGGTTTGGCACTGGGAGGACTGCAACACGTCGCGTGACCTGCTCCGGAGCAGCCGGGGAACGGCTGCATCCCGTGGGGAGGACTCACGCCAGAGAAGGCTCATGGAGGGCTGTCTGCAGTGAGGGGGGAGCCCCGGGGAGCAGGGAAGGCGTGGTGTTCACCCCATCTCTCGAGAGGGAAGGAGTGGCAAGCTGACTATAACCCCCGTCCCCTGCCAGCTGAGGGAGGAGGTAGAGAGATGGGGAGCAGAGCTGAGCCCGGGAAGAAAGGCGGGGGGGGGGGCGTGCAGCTGAGGAGGAGATGGTTTTGGACGTGGTGGCACTTCTCACTGTCCCTACCTTTTCTGTTAAGTGTTGCTTTTGTTAATGTTTGAATTAAAGTGATGTTCTTTTTTCTTCCCTAAGGAGTCTGTCTTGCCCGTGACTGTAATGGGTGAACACTCCTCCCTGTCCTTATCTCAATTCCTGAGCCTTTTACTTTATTTTCTCCTTCCCCTTCCTGAGGGGGAAAGGGTGAATGAACAGCAGCATGGTGCTCAAGCCACAACAGACAAAAGAAGAACTGCATTAGAAAGTGGCTGCATCCTAAGGGGGCAGGCAAAGAAACACAATGCAGGATCAACTGGAAGAACTCCAAAAACCCTTCCAATAAAACAAAGACCCCAACTGAGATGTAGAAGCTGGAATTGAAGTACCAAATTTAACATCTTTACTATAATTCAGTCGTTTATAAAACAAACCCAACCCAACTATTTTACTGACAATCAGGAAAAATAACTATGAATTTATTTCACTGGATTTCAGTATAAACTGATTGCACAGGAACAAAAAAGGATATCTCCACCCCAAAGAAACAGTTTTTAAAAAGGTTTTCAGTTTTTTTTTTTTTTTTTTTAATAAATGTGCTTTGTTCACAAAAGTAGTGACATAAAGACAACAGAAATGCAAATACACATTTTTTTTCCTCTCCAGCACCTTAAGAACAAGAGGTCTCTTGCACAGTTATAATAATTTTCAAATATTTCATAATCTAGAAATTTTTCTTGCACCAGCAACTCCTGATATCACCACTTAATTGGTCAGGGAAGTATAAGCATTTGTGTAAATCCCATCTTCCTTCTATACTACAATCTACTGTCCCTTGATTTTTTTTTTTTTTTTTTGTTTTTTCAAAAAAAGGCAGCAAGAAAATCAAGCTGTTATGAATCTCAGGTCCTTAAACCACAAATACAGTGGTGTCAGCAACCTGCCAAAAAGGCTTAAATTTAAAATGTTAATTTTAAATTATTTTTGGGGGGATAAATCTTGGTCTGAATTTCTTTTTTGCATTAATCAAACCAATTTACATGAACCAATGCTAACATAGCTGTTAGCTGGTATACTCCTTTTTAAAAAAAAGTTGTATCAGTTAAAATGTCAGGTACACTTTGAAGTATACACAGATTAAGTTTCCATAAACAATTTATAGCACCGATATTTTAGCTTTAACGTAAGTACTGCTGGAGTCAGTGGTTAACTGGGAAAAAGTCAGTCTTTGAACAACAAACATTTTAGTGAAAGTGGTAAAGCATTAGATGCATATACTGACTTACAGCCAATTTTGAAACCGTTGTGTATTTCATTAGATAAGTATTCTCTGTAAAAAAAAATTAAAACCAACCATGATGCTTGTATGTCTAATATTATTTTTTGTTTACACATCAGAATACAATTGTTTGGTTTGTATACGACTATATCATTCAGATTGAATAACAAATCTGAGTCAGGTATTTGGGGATGCTTTAAATTTGAGACACAAAAAGCTTATGTTAAATAAAGCATTGCGGTCCAGATCATGTTTGAGTGTAAGCTGGACCAATGTGGGATGACTCTTTGTAGGAAATGGTATAAAAGAAAAACAGGTAGGTCAAACTGTGACATTTTCAGTGCAAAACTTCAATGTAAGGAATAAATTTAATTTCTGGTAACTTCTGTATTATAAATATGACAGGGTAGGTTAATAAGGTGTAAGGTATATCTCATCACAACCACCTGTGAAACTATATATTAGTATTTTCTACCATGTTGCTGAAGTCAGTCTTAAAACCATGATGTGGCACCTAGTTCAAATCATTTATTATTAGGCACTTACAGATTTAACAGCCTAACATTCAAATCTGAAAATTCTGGCCATTATTTTTAAATGGAGGGAAATTTAAGCTAAACTAATACTGAATCCTCTATTTTTACCAGTGAACATATTGGTTTTTTTCTGGCAAAAACCTCACCAATTTATTCCCCAAGTTAAAAAAAACTTAGTAGATGTAAATCACTTCTGTTCCATCTCCTTACAGTGCAGATCAGTTTTCAGAGAGCTATGGAGTTTTTATTTAACTAAACAAAAGATGTTTGGGTCCAAACAAGCAAACAAATAGTGTATGTTAACTTCACTTGGGTGGTCTGAATACACTGCTTTTGTGCAAATACATGTATCCTTGAAAAACTTGTATAATTATGTTCCTTTTTACAAAATCGGCCTGTAGTTACCATATAACTTGGGAGGTCTACAAATAAGGACAATTAAAGAAGATTTTTTTGTTTCTAAAATGCATAAATAATTTACTTTAAAACATGACAAAATCTACCCTGTCCGTCCCCATTTCTCCCCCCTTCCCCCCCCCCCCACCCTCTCCCCCCAAAACAACCCCAAACAACAGAGTTTGAAGAGAATACAGAACACCATAACTGGGGAAATACTGATATATGTTAGTGCTTGTACACTCAAAATTGCAAAACCATGTTCCAGATCTGAAGTGAAACATAATTGTCTAGACGTACCACACTTCTCTGGGGGGGGATAACCTCTTCAGAAATCTCATGTCTAACTACCATTTATGCAATGAAATTACATCGTATGTATAGCAAGGGATGAATATATTCCAGTGTTTTGGTGTTATCTCAAGAGGGCTGCAATGAACATAAAATCGAATGTGCAAGCATTATAGTTCCTCCAGCCCAGGCTTAACCAGAGTGAAACAAATTTTGGAAAAAAAGCTTTGTTCCATAATTAAGAAGGGACATGTGTAACCATGTGTCTTAACCTATCTGCACATTTAATTAAAGTGCAAATTATTTCTTCCTACATATACTTCTCAGAAGCCCACTAACTCCAGTGCCTTAAGCTCAACCACATTGAGTTAAAATATTGAAACAACATTTAGCAAATTAAATAGAATTCACACTTCACAGCACTAAAGAAAAGAATGGTACCTTTCTGGAAAAAAATTAGTGATACAAATCTAAAGAAAGTAACAGCAATTTATGCTATGACATGAGTCATTTGCATAAAACTTGTATTTTTTCACTTTCATACAAGAATAAATTTTAAAATTCAAAAGTAGAAAAAAATAGCAAACTCTGTAAACCTTTGCATTTTCTTTATGCAAACCATTTTTGTGTTGAGCCCATGTTAGTATAGCAAAATTAGTTAAGCAAGAGGTTTGACTGAAAGGGCATTTCAACGACTACATTAACTTAGAAGCAATATAGGATCTTCTAGCTCATAGAAAGGAATTGAACTAGACTGGCTTTCTCCAGAGTCTGAGTCATAAGGAGCATCAGGTAGTTCCATAAAACTGTAAGCTAGCTGTTCATCTTCTGTATCTGACCGAACATAACAGGAAGCGTTGGAATACTCCTCGTCCTCTATACTGTTGAAATCCTGTGGGATATACAACATTCCTGGGTAGTTCCTGCTAACTAAGTCACTTGTTGTTTGCAGGGAAGTTTTCCTAAATGCCATCAGGTGCATGTGAGAAAACTTGGAATACTTGAAGCGCTTAAAACCCAAGGACTCTATGGCAATTTTCCAGCTTTTCATCATCATAGCGCGGCGATTCTGATGAGATGAATCAGGAGTTATTACAAGCAATAAGCCATTTAATACGAGAAGTTCGTGTGCCTTCTTGCAGCATATCCATCGTTGATAGGGTGATGGAAAATAAGAAAGGAGTAGCGAGAAAACGACAACATGGAACAGTTCTCCAGGTAGAGAATCAATGGGATTTTTCAGTTGCTTAAGAAAGGCATCTATAGCATCTTGTGCCAGCTGGAGAGGTTGTTGAATTTGGAGATTTAAGAAGTCACATTTGTATACACTCTGATGGAATAAGAAAAATAGAAAACCAAACAAACATCAAGGTTAGTTTAAAGAGCAAATACAATCCAAACTCACAGACAATCAATGATAACCTCTCCATTCCCTTGCGGAAATGTCAAGCCTGCTGAACACTCCTCTTGTTACTAAATCAAACAGTCTAAAATAACAACTTAGCACGTATTGTTAGCTTGCACGATTGCAAAGCAAAATTTTATATGTGCAGTAATTTACTAGAGATTTGATAGCTGGTGACTGTTAATTGAGGAAAAATAATAATAAAAAAATATTTTAGCCCAAATAGAACAAAGTATCGTATCAACTATCTCAAATTATTTAAGAAGAACTCAGATAAGCCTACATTGCTTTTGTTTCTCCAGATGCTGGAAGACTTCTATAGGTTTTTATAAACCTGAAATCACTAATTAGAAAATAAATTTGATATCTCAGTATTTCCACCAGTGCTTTGAAAAGAATCCAAGAAACTTAGTAGTTTAGTCACTTGGAAAAAAAAATGCCATTCTTTACTGCTACAGAAACAAAGAAGCTATGGTAAGGCAATATACATTAGAAAGTTACAGTAACTGCTTTGCAGCAGTGATACAGGTCCATGTTTTAATCTTGCTGTAAATGTAAAGCGTAGCACTACACATTTGGGCAGTTATCAAAGTAAGGTAAGGTCTATAAATTCACCTGTTGATCATCTATGTGCTTAAGCTGTCAAAGATGGGAAATGACACCACAACATAACGTACAGAAGAATAAGTTCTTAACGTCCTTAATCACAGAGCATTCAAAAAATAAGAGTACTAGTACGCTATTCACTACATTTAAGTTTTGACACTTTATATTCATCAAAACCTGGGACTGACTTCTTTCATAAAAAGGGTATTAAGATAACAAAGTTTTGACATGATACCAACAGAATTTGTTAGTAATACCTAGAGAATGCGCCATGAACAACACGCGCTCTTAACAGGTAAGTGAACATGAAAGCAGTCACAAAACATTGTGTTGAGCACATCTGAAAGGTAGAGTTAGTTCTGCTGCATTTTCATACCACAAAAATATTTATAATGTTCTATGAAATAATATTCAAAAATCACTAGAACAGTATTGTAAAGGTATTCATGATGCAACTGATATGCACAATTGTTTCCAAGTAAAAGAGAATGCTATTTCTGTTTATATAAAAATCATATTATCTTCTGAGAGTGCGCAGTAAATTAGAAAAAGTAATCAATGTTCAAAAAAATGTTAACAAAATTTTAATTGCAACCATTATGCCTGCAGGGCTATATTCTGCTCCCTTGTAATCCTTAGAACAGGAAATTAACAGTAGTAATTTCATTATATTCTCTAGTAAATTTTAAAAGAAAAGTGCTTTGAAGAATAATTATTCAGACTAACACGCCAACTTTACTTAGAAGGAAGACTTAAAAAGTTAGTGGTTACACATGAACAGTTGAAAAAACAATTTAGACTGCAAGTATTTCTGAGCAGTGGAAAAATACTCATAAAACATTTATGTAGACATAATGTTAGACCATTGCAGGACTAAAGTATGTTTCGAGTGTAATCCGAACTCTGCAGGCAGTTTTAGGACAAAAATGCTGCTAAACTGGAGATTGCTACTAATCTCTAGATACACAAGTCTTGAACTCATGTTAAAGTCCTCCTAGACACTGAAACTGCAGTCATATTTCAGTGTATCCACTGTCATTTAAGAACACGATCCTACTTGTATATTCTAATTTTTCATTCCAGCACCCTTCCAGCCTCCATTATTTTTTTTTGGCCTCAGACTATATTTACTCCAGTACAACATCTGCTGCGTATTCAGCATGTTTCACAGCAGTATGAAATTGTATTTGGATTTTCCCAAAGTGGAGATCCTTCCTTCATGCAAATTTTGCAGGTTGTTTTGTTTTTGTTTTTTTGTTTGTTTGTTTGTTTGTTTGTTTGTTTGTTTTAAATTATATAGACAAATTAAACTCCTCTAAAAAAATAACCACTGCTAATTGTACTCTGGAATATCTGTGTTATAAGCAGAATGTTTGAAGGAACAGCCAACAAAAACACTGGGTCAAGAAGAAACCTGTTCTGCTTACCCCAGTCTCAGTTTCCCTCAGCGTACCTTACACCAAGACACTGAAAATAAGTGAACAATGTATAAAGAGAATACTAATCTTTTCATGGTGCACTTCCCTTCCCCCCTCAAAACAGAAAGCCTTTTAATGGAAATATATTTCCATATTCATATCTCTACAGTTTACATTCTCCCTATATGAAACAGATATTCAAAGCATTCTGAAGACACTAATTTTTTATGATATAACATTTCAGTTCCTCTACTAGTTTTTCCACAATTAACATCCTTATTCCTCAACTTCGGTGAAGTATTTTACTCAACTACTTAGCCTATATCTAAAGCATTTCTATATGCAGAAAGTAGATTAATGTATTCTTATTAAAAAATTATTTAACCCTCTGTTCAACACTATTCCAGAAACTGACTACTTAAGAAGCCTTTATGCTTCAATGTGTTTCAAAAAGTATTTTGGTATCTTACCTAGAAGATCTGCCAAATCAGAAGATTTTACCAGTTCTATTTTAAGCTTCTACCACTACCTTAGCAGATCAATTTTTCAGGTCAGAAGACTACATTAACTACTGTAAGAACCCTCTGGCTGTTATTCTGAAATCTTAAATCAGCCCAGGCAACTGCTGGCCTAAAGATAAATTTATTCAGGAGGTTATGGTGCTGATGCAGCTCAAAGCAGAGTCATCTTGAATACATCAGGGCTTATTAAAGCTGTTTTGGAGGTGGGCCTAAACTTAATCTAGTGGATGCGTTTGAGCGCACAAACTGTACTCCATGTCACTCCAAGAACGCTGGCTAGCTAGTTTTCAAGGTGCCCTGAACACACCAAAGTATCCAAGAGAATGGAAGTAAGAGAAGCTGGTCAGCACAAGACAGGCCTCACAGTAACTATGTTGGCCTGTATAGTAGTACTCCAAGGAGTTCCTATCATCAAGCTATGGTACTATGTCAGATGACAAGAAATTAATTATCTTATTGTTACCTTGTACTAGGAGAGAGCCTGAAGAACTGGTTAGTACACAGAAATTGCAGCTACCTGACTACTCTCTCTCCTGTTGTCTGGCCTGGATTACTCATATTCCTCCATTACATCCACAGAAGTAACCTTTACGGGACTTGTCCAATAATGGTTTTGGTCGCTGTACATTTAAACTGATTTTCAGGAGAAAGAAAGTAATTTTCTTATGAAAACAGCATGATAGACTAGATAGCAAAATATTAGCTATGCACACCCAAAAATTAATGGTTAGCTTCAGCTCATGTAACTTCAGGTGCCTAGGTTCCCATTACAGTCACTGGAGAGCTAGTCAATACAGCCCACGAGGTCTGAACACAATTCACCTCACTGTGAAACAGCAGATGTTTATGTTTCACTGACTATTTTTAATAGATCTCCACTGACTGTAACTGGAACTTAAACCCCAGATATGGACATCCACAACCTATGTATCTTAGCTGGAAATTTACTTGCTATGTATTACCATTTTAGATACCATAAGCTGCCACTTCAGTGGCACGTGTCTCCTTTACATCCTGTATCATGCCCAAAAGCCCCGTGCAGATGTCCTACAGTCTCTTAAGTGGTAGAAGGCAATCATGTTTGGGCAACTGATGCCTGTTCTTCAAATCAGGCAAGATGGGAGTCCACCCAAAGTTTATTTCTGTTCTAGATGAAACTAACATTGAAGTGCTTTAAAAAGCAATTTATTAGACTCAGATTATTTTTCAAGAGTATCTTTCATTATCTGTCTGCATATACGCAAAAGTATAAATTAGCTGTTACTGGACTAAACCCGGTAACCACAACGAAATACCATGCATTTAGCATGTAAACCACACTGCAGCAAATAAGAGAACATTACTTTCAAGTTAACCACATTATTGCACTTGTACACTTCTCACCTCTCCACTTCTAAAGAGGGCTACCTTAGGCCACCGATTTTAATAGTGCCTCATATTAAACTGTAAGTGGTCAAGATGTGTAAGGTCAAAAGTTTTTCTGTTTTCTGTCAGAAATGTACTCCTTTCTGCATCTTTTCATTTTCATTCCACTTTGTCATTTTGCTTGGCTGATGAATGCTATTAGAACTGACAAAAGTTGGGTCAAGAGCAAAAGACAGAAAGAACATATGATTACAGCAGAATTAATGCATTTGAGAACCTTACTAACTAAAGAAAATGAATCAATTTATCCAAAAAATGCTGATAAATTTGTCATCAGGGCTGCAGAATTTCAATAATATTTTAGCAATAAATAGAAAAGCCCCCTTGCAGTGCACTTCTACTTACTAAAACTCCACAGAAAAAAACTCACCAATTACAGTCACTGATGATTTCCTTCTGTCAGCGAATGCAACTTCTGAGAGGTTTGTGCCTAAGCATTAGCTTACTCAATTTTTATTTTTATCTTTTATGCAAGGACTCATCTGAAATGCCATTAAAAGGCGGCTACTAAAGTTTTCCAGTTTTAAGATTCACAACTGCATTCTAAAGGCACAACTCTTGAAAAAAAAATCAGATTTTTCAAACAAAACACAACTACAGTTTAGAGCCTGTTCATGGAAAAGGACGCAGTAGGAGGGCCACAGTTCCTATTAAAGCACAGATATTTAGGATACATACCTAAGTATTACACATTCTTTTTTTACAGTCATTTTGAAGCATTCTAAAAATATATGAGAATCAAACTTATATTAAATTCAGCAAACATTACATACCTCAACAGCTGGAACAATATCTATGCCAACTGTCAGAAATTCTTCAAACTTCAGGAATGGATTAAAGCAGCTACCAACATCAAGTAATCTGATCTTCCCCAAGGAGTGGAGCAATCTAAGAAGCAGCAAGAATTCAGTTTTATCAAATGCTACATTTGAAGCTATATTTTGAATTACAATTTCAGATAACTAATGCAAAAAAAATTCTCATAGAACACCACCGTAGTGACTAATAGAAGTGAATGCCTTACTTGAATTGCTGAGATACCTAAGGAATCAAGCTCCATCAGTAAGGCATACGGTCCTCAAGCAGAACAGTTATGCTCAGACCAACTGTAATACTATTAACTTGTATACTGTAGTAAGAAACTGAAATGGCAACATGTGTATCCACTAGACAGGTTTTGTCTATTGCTTGTGTTTCCCACTTACCTTTTTTGTGGCATTTCTTGGTGTTGAAGTCACACAAGTCACCAGAGTTAAAATTTCAGGAGTTTAAAAAGAGAAACTTGCAACACTATGACCTAACTACTTGTCAGTCCTATTTTAAAGAGCATCTGAAGTCAAATACCGTAATTGGTTCAATAAAGATAAGAGAACACATAATGATATTCCAAGGTAAACAAAAAAAAATACATACAAATAAAAGCACTTAGTTATTCCCTACAAAAAAATATTAAATATTTTATTTGCTTTATGTTACCTAATATATTTTTTTAAATGGATGTCTGCTGGAGGTTCACTCCAATCCTGTTTTCAGTGGATGCCGTGGAAGTTAGCTGCTTGAGTTGTATGAAAGTTATTCTAAACATCTAAATGAACCGAAGTATTCCCTCAAAACTACTTGGGGGAAAAACCATCAGTCTATTCCATACCATGCAATCAGTTTTCTTTTAGAGTATCCAAAAGCTTTTTAATGAGAAATAGTCAAAAACAGCCATCTGGTTGAGGAAAGAGTCCTAATCAGAGTAATTCTGAGTATTACTCCATAAGAATTTTGGACAACACATTAGAAAGCCAAAAACCTACCTCCTTATCTGCCACTGTGTGATGACACTACTATTCAAGGTGGAATTACAGATAAGGCAGCCAATGGTCGTCATGCTAAATACTTAACTATGCTTCTGAACAACAAAAGGTGACAATTTAAACAGGGAAAAAAAAAAAAAAAGGAGGGGAGGGATTAACTTGTGAAATCATGATTTTACTGCTTGGACTGATAGAAAGAGGTTGACAGACTGCAGAGGACACTTTAGTACTTTCCAGAATGCTGCAGATATGCATGTATACCCTTCCAAAATGTCATGGAAAATGAACAAAAAAAAACCAAACAAAAAACCCCACCCTGAATAACTGGCCCATCACCTTCTCAACCAGATTCCAAAGCTTCCTAGGGTAAAAAAAAGCCTAGAATGGTGGGAGATCAGAAAGAAAATAGTAGACTGAAGAAACAAGGAGAGGACATTATTGTACTGTCTCATGGAAGCTCCCATTACAGCAGAGCAGAAGATACACTGGAGGCTGGCAGATGAGATTTGCCTTTTCTTGGGAAGCTGTGACACCATCTGTGACCAACTGCAAAACCAATGTGAAATGTCTTTATGAAGAAAAAGACATCATTGCTCTTTTCTTTAAATTAAATATATAGTTTAAAAAAGAAAAGAAAAGATGCCTGGAAACTTTTGAGGATAGTGACTGCTGCCTTGCCTCTGAAAGCATGCTTATCTTTCAAAGGAATAATCTTCCTCAACAGTGCTCAGAGGAACGTTTGTGGTCTTCAAGTTTGCAACCATAGGCATTTTCTTCATGACTAAGGCAGTTACCAGTATATATAATGCAGCATCAGATGAGATCAATGCACCTGTACAGAAGCACTAGCAGCCAGCTGTCTCATCATTTAAAGGTCTTGCATTGTCCTGGCATGTAGATTGTCTAACTTGATAGGATATCCCCCTTAAAAGAATTAGAATTTGAATGTTGCACTCTGGTATCATTAATGTCAAGGACCCAGCTGCTGAATATATCCTAAAAGAATTAAAATTTGAATGTTGCACTCTGGAATCATTAATAGCAAGGACTTAGCTGCTGAATACATCCTACAATCAAAGACATTGTTCTTTAGTTTTTTATTTTCCTTGCATTCTGAATTTGGAGGCCCCTGATGTTTATTCTTTCTTTGCAGTTGCAACAAGCCAGTAAATGCTGGAGTTAAACAATTCTGTTCAAGTCCACTAGTACAAACAATACATCTGCCTGCTCTTTAAAACACAACTTGATGAGTGCGTCCACATAAAAAAAAAAACAAAACCCAAAACCCCAAAACACAAAAAAACGCCAGCACCACTAACACTCAACCATTTGAGCTCTTTTTACTGGGACATTTACAGGGCTGCATCTAAAAATTTCCATTATTATTTGTAAGATTTTAGAATACCCAAAATCCACGAATAAAGGCAAACAAACATGAACTCACAGCTTTCATAGGGAGTTCACAGGGAAGAGAATGATAGCTTTCCAGCAAGCAAACGTTGCTTTTTTGCTTCAAGCTTCTGTAGCCAATTCCAGTTGACATCTCTGAAATATCACTTGTCATCTTTATGGGAAAAATTCAGCCCTCAAGAGACAGTTAACTGCAAAAACATTCAGAACCAGATCTGCGGGGCCAATGAAGTCCAACAAAGCCACGATTGTACTCATAGCAACAACAAAGCAGTAAGGAATACTGCAGAAAAAAGTATCTTTAAGCAGCAATAGAGATCTGGGCTCTCTGTGCTCCTCCTAAACTCCCAGTGATCTATCACAGGGAGGATGTTGGGAGAAACAAGAGAGTATTTCTTGTTGCATTCAGCAGAATAATAATTACAAGTTTAAGGATTTTGCTTCTACATGGAATAGAAGATATCCAAGGGATACTTCTGTCAAAATACCAGCATCACCAAGACAAACAGTGCAACAATTAAGTTAAAACCGCACACATTAGCAGGCTACCCTGCAAGTCAGTCAGTATTGAGTGAGATTTCAGAATGAAAAGAGTAACAATTTTTTCCTAGCATGGATGATAATCACAATGTAATCTGTACAACAGGAATTTGAAAACTGCAGAGGGACCATTCAGATCCTAGTGGCCATAAATCACAAACATTGGCTGAAGTCAGATAGTCTCTTTTTCCACATAAGGCTAGTATGAGGTTCCTCAGACCTGCATGTCTCCTTGTCTAGCAAATGGAGACACTAAGGGCAGATTCTTTCTCAAACACAAAAATGTATGTCTGTATCTAAACTTGAATTCCACTTAAGATACCAATGGTAACTGCAAATCAATAGAAGACGTGGAACCACAGGAAACACAAGAGGGAACATGACTCTATAGTGAAAACCCATAAAGAAGAGTGACAGCCTCTAGAGATCTTAACATTTTCCATTTAAAGTGTTTGATTAAATACTTGTACAGATTAAAATTAAGCAGCACAACCCAGAACCCTCTAATTTCCAGGAGAACCCACTTAACCTACGGTAGAGTGAAAAAATCACTGTGATGTATTGCCTTCCTCTCTTACAAAACTTGCATTATTGGCTCCAGAATTATTTTTGACTGGGTGAAGGGGGACACTACTTCAGACTACTTCAGCATTGAGGCACACTTTTAGAATGTTACAACTCTGGATTCCAAGCTGAACAGAAGCCAGAAACTGTCTTCTACACTAACTGACAACATATCTAAGGCATCTGATACAGGGGAAATCCACTCCGATAGGTGCGTCACATCCAAGGAGCCTTGTAGTCTAAGTTCAATGCAAATTACTTTGAAACCTTACAAGTAGCAGGGATTCGGATGCTCACTTGTGTCTTGACTTCCTGTTGCTTGTCAGGTTTTGCTGTCTCTCAGAACGCAGGTTCAATGAATCTCTCAGTAGCTATTCTCAGGCTGCCAGTTATCAGTAGGAACAGTATCCTAGTTAAGTGCTTGAAATAATTTTGAAGATCTTCAGAAGCACTTAGATTTGGTCACTGAACACATACAGAGAGCACAGATCACAAATTCAGATGGTCTGAAGACCATTGGTTCAGACACCTACTTTTTCACCACTGTAAACTCTCAAATCAGATTCCTCAGTGAGAATATAACTGTAATTTAGGTGATGATCACTGATCCAGTGACTTTGCTAGAAATGTAGTCTTGCTGAATTCATTGATAATCACCCTTCAATCCCTTGTTTCCTAATGATTTTCAGATCAGACAACAATAAAAGTGGGGAAAGTATTTGGCCACTGTAGGCCATCTCTAAGCACATCTCAAATCCATAGCTCTCCAATGTATTAGTGTACAGGTAGAAAAATAAAATGTGAATAATTAAAGATCAGGAACTAGTGGAGAAGGGTACATAACGTGGGATATGAGTGCACTTTAAAGTGTCATACTTGTTTATTTCAAGAATTTTATTAAATGGACTGCAGGTGTTGATTATTAGCCTCCTTAAAAATGCATCTATTATTCAACTAGGTGCTGTACAGGTAAGTGACATTTTCTGTTGGAAGCAGATAAAAATAGAGCAGTTCAAGTGACTTTCCTTGTGGTCATATACTTCTGAAATTAATCACTTTAAATGCTGATCTCTTAGTTTAGTTTTACATTATTATTTATTAAGGATGGGAGGGGAAAAAAAATTCAGAAGTCCCATGCTGTCAGAAAAGCAGAACAAAGCTATACATCTGGTTCTGAGTGGTAATACTGGTGTGCCTCAAATCTTTCATAACATCCATGTATAAAGATATCCAATGGGAAGGTCTAGCTTGCTGAGATATATATGAAAGAATGAATGATAGGTTGTACCTTAAGACACAGTCAAATCAGCACCTGAGAAAAATCCATACCAAAAAGGTTGTGATTTTTACCACTAAGGATAAAAAGCAAGACTGCTTAATTCCATGGAAAAAATTGGAGAAACAATATTCAAAAAGAGAACAAAGAGGGGACTGATTTATTGAAGGGAGGAGCTGTTAAACGGCAGATAACAGCTACTTTTATCTTGCAAAACTGAGCCACTTTGATGTCCAGCTTCACAACAGGTGCAGTTTTAGTTTTAGAGACATGAGAACTCATTCTGGGATGGAAGGAAGCACTGAGCACAGAACATTACTTTTCATATAGATGAAAGTAAAAAAAGGACTATTCAGATTAGTTATTTCTGTGAGACTCACCAATTTTAACCTGGCAAAGAGGTGAGCAACACGAGCAACTGGAAATGGGTTCAAGGTAGCTGAGCGATCGAGTTGCAGTAAACTTTGCACTTCTAGTTCCTATGATGTTTCCTACCATCAGCTTTAAGAGACAGCTGAGTGCTTCCTACTTCTCTACACATCTCCCAGCATCTTCGTTCCTATTTGTGGATCTTTTTATTTCTGAGCTAGTTTGCTTTGCTCCTTACCAGGCAAAGTACAGGCTCTCTATAACGGCTTGCCACTAAAGGTAAGCTCAGAAAGAGCTCCTACATAAGCAACCTGGTTTTAATACTACTTAAAAGAGGATTATATATGGGAAGAATGAAATTATTGTCCTTACAATTACCAGAGTAAAACAAAAAGTCACAGGCTTAGCCATACATATAGACAACCCCACAACTCTTACTTGTAGCGTTACCAGAATGGAGTGACAATATTTGAACAAGTGTGTGTGTGAGGAGATTTTCCCACACCCCTTGTACCAAGGCTTCACGAAGATTCAGACTTCACTAATTGATCAGTGTAGACATGGTAGAAAAACATTTCAGGAGAAAAGTATGCTTTGTGTAATACACAATCCATTTGCATTCTGATAAACTCTGTAATTTCTTCTATAAGGCATAGAGGAAAAAATTGAATGTTGATTTTTCTGGGCAGTAAATTATAACAGCTATGCCCTGTTGCTTTAAGGTCCATACAGCTACTAAAATCCTTACTATCATTTGTTGCTTACTCAGGTAAATATTATGAATATTGCTTTTGCCAGGTATGTCTTTATGAAAGTATGTATTTTTAAAGCTTTGAGAATGACGATGGGAAAAAAAAAAATCATCATCACTCACTAGATTACCAAATACTTTTAAAATTATTTAAACTTCTCTATTAACTACTGTCTATACACACTAGTCAGAACAAAAGGTAAGGCTACAGACTACTGGTAGCAAGAAGAAACTCATGTCAAGTTAGCTCTGCAATGGCCATAATAAACTGTACAAGGTATGAAGACAGAGCACATGCAAAGAGAGAGCTAATGCTTTATCATGGCAAGGTCTCCCAGTGGAAGACAAATCACCTTTAAGTACTACATAATCATCAAACCTATCGATTTAAACAAACAAGTACCAACAAACTGCTATTTACAGTAACAGTAAAATTATGTGTTAACTAATGCCAGCAGTATTGAGATGTTACAAGGTATTAGTAGCTCATCAGCCTTTTGTGCAAAAGCACCCGGCAGTTCTCATTAAAAACAAGTATTCATTTTGAGGCTGACTTAGCAAAATGAGCACTAAATAGGGGCGTGGGGGGAAGTCAGTTTATGAGAAGCCACTACTGTCCTTTTGGAAGCATCTGTTTTGTCCTGTCGTAATAGCACAACAAGGAAATATTTTCATTTTCCATGAAACTATTCAACTACATAGGCATTTGGGATATTTATGCCTTTTGCAAGTTACTTTACAAACATGAGAAACTACAAAAGATACCGGCTCATAAGGACAGACACATTTGCTAATAATGTCAGTAACATGCTTGCTCTTTTCCTAATACTAGATCTTACTTAAAATAAGCGTTGATCACAGAAGACATAACGAGAAAAAAAATCTCATCACAGAACAGAAAAAACACTATTGCAGTTGTATGAACTGATCTATAAAGAATATGAAACATCGTAAGTGTAACATTTAATGATAATATGCTTATAAATTAATTATTTATTATACTTCAAAACTATTTCCATCACACGTGGAATAGCCACAAACATGATCCATGTTATTTAGAAAAAGAAGAGGGTGGGACTGTAACTGAAATAATAAAGCTAACAATGAATGCCAAAAATAAAATTCTTACTTGAGTGAAGGTCACAAACAAAATTAAAACTGTTAGGAAAATACCTCAAGGATACTACAACTTCTGCAGAGTCAGTCATCAGAAAGCTGGCACATTTAAAATTAAGGGTTGTAATTCAAAATTGCTTTTGAAGTGTATAATTGGAACCAAGAGTTTCTCTGCAATTATTTATGAAGAGAAAGTTTTAAGTACTCTGATATTTACATTTGGCACTTAGTACTTATATAAGCAATTGACTTTTCAACAGTGCTGAACAGCCATTAGATTCTAACTTAATTAACATCTCCCTTATTTCACCTCAAGGTTTAATATAAACTGCATTGCACACCAATGACATACAAAAGTGAAATTGCTCTAACAATTAAACGAAGATGACTAAGTTGTCATTCTCAAACACTTTTTTTATGGCATCCACCAAAATATACTACAACATAAATACTTCTTGAACCATGCATACAGTCACATGAAAATTCCCTTTCCTAACTATTAAAAACACATCAGACTAATCTAATAGGGGGAAAAAATGTCCACGTCAGTCTTATACAAAGAGGGGGGAAAAAAGTCTGGAAAACAAGTAAAACTTACTCTTCTGTTATAGCTTCATGATTTGTCAAGCCAACATTTGGCAAGGGATCTTCAATCTTGGGAGCCTGGGGAACAGTTGAAGCTGGAGTGGCCTTAGAAGCAAGAAGTGCTCTTTTTTCATCTTTCTCGAGTGCTTTTCTTTTCCCACCATTCTGAAAATATTCTCGGCATACACTGAAAGACAAAAATTCCCCAGAAGAACAGAAAGGTATTTTTGGTCATTACTATAGATAAGAACACAAGACAGAGGTTTAAGAGATATAAGCACTGTCAGCTTTTAAACAAATCTAGGTCTTATTGCAACTTTGGTAAATCTGCTTTAGGAAAGATGCTATACACACAAAGACACACTTGAAGTTGAGTGGTGTTTTATTTCCAAAAGTTAGGCCATAAGCCACAGTTGAGTAAACATATTCAAAATAGTTTTATCTGGACAGACTTTTAGAGCAAGACGGCAGAAGTCTTATCAGAACATCACCAGAGGGTAAACTTCAGCTGTCACCTGAGCACAACAGTTCTCCACTAGGGTGCAAAGAGTTATTAACTATCTTGCCATAAATGCAGGGGCTTTTGAAACATCCGTGTCTTGCAAGGCACATAATGTGGGGGAAAAGAAACACAATCCAGGTTTATGGGGTGATTTACATACACCAGTTTTTAATTTTAATTGAGTTTGCCTAGGGTGGTTTTTGTTTTTAAGTAACATATCTACAGTAGCTGTATTACCGCAGAAGACTTATTTCAGCTTTTAATTTTTTCTCCATACTTAATTATTTTGCTAATAGGAACTAGAACAAAATAATCTGGTCATACTTAAGCAGAAATGTTAACCAATTTAAAGGAATCAAAAAAATTAAATTGTACCTGCATACTTCAACCAGCAGTCAGCATTAGTGTATGAGAAGCAAGCACTGTGGTTGAGAATAACTGAATTTTGCCCACAAAATAGAACTAGAATTGGAAACAATTTGTTGCTGTGAAATTAAAAAGCCTGACTCACTCTGCACAAAGCAGTATTTTTAATTAGATGTGCCAGCCAAGTATTTGCACGGAAAGTTTAACAGAAATAGTACTTGTTTGAATGATGTTTTCATAACAAACCATTTTTATGATCTTTCTTGAAATTCACTCAGTTTTCCTCTGACAAAGCTGCAGAGGCTTGAAGGAAACATTCCAGAAAAGATAAATTCAAGTGTACTTTAATAACACCTTATACAAAGCAGGATCAAGATAACACAGTATTTCACATCACAGATTCAGGAAAGGACATGTTGGTATAATGCTGCAGATTGAGACAGGGACTTGGAATACACAGGCCTTATCTAAGTGTTGGCGAGATTATAGGCACCAGATATATCCAGCCTCTCCACCATATAAGATGTGAAGAAAAAAAAAAAAACAAAACAAAACAAAAAAATCATTGGAGTTGAGCTTCCTTAAGGGAAACACACAATCAAACAGGTATAGACAGAAGTTGCTTTACTCAAAGATCGTAGGAAATGACCACCTTGAGTCAGTAAATGTATAATTATAGTAGCACATTATGTCCAGACTACTAATTCTTGCCATGAAGGGGAAAAAATAAGTTATCCTGGACACATTTCTGGGCCAATAAGCTTATAGGACCTCAAGACCAAAACTGACCTGTGTCTAAAACTCAAAGCACAAGCAAGTTTTACTTGCTCAAGCAGGCCCTAGGTGTTCTTGCACTAAATATAAAAATTCTGAAATGCAGAAAGTAACCTTAGAGCAGAAAGCACAGCTATGTGAGAAACAGTCAGTAAACATCATATTCATAATCAACAAGTTTATGATTACAATTCCTCAGTAACCAAAGCCATTTTCAGACCAAAGAAAAGCTAGGTGGAATAAAAAAAAATAAAATCCACATCTTAACAGTATGGAGCAAGATCACAAGCAGAAACATGAATAGCAGTCCAGGCTCCAAAAGTCCCAGATATAAAGACTGTGAAACCATATCAACTCCATCCATTAGAGATTGCATGCATGGAAAGGCAATTCTAAAATTAACAAAGTTAAAGTAGAAGGAGCCAGTCATTTAACTTAGCAGAAAAGAGATTGAAAGCATCAGTAAACAAAAGAGAGCCCTAGAAAAAAACACTTGAATTATTGCTGGTATGCTAATGAAAGTGTATTTTACACTATATTGTATTATTTGTTTATAAGCATACAATCAATTTAGAACTATTTAGTTCTGTGTGTCATCTAGTCTAAGAAATGAAACTCAGAAAAAAAAATGTATTTTTCCTCACTGTTCATCAGCTGCCTTGCTACTTTGTTAGCTTCTTGCAGTCTCTTTATTCTAAGTATTCTTTCTCACTACATCTCGTAAAACATCCAGAATCAATGGCAGTTTAAATAGTGTTGCACTGCCACTGACATGCAAGTCAGAACACACGAAAAAGTTCACAACCTTGGGAGAACATATCATTTTTTCTCCTCAACTATTGATGTTACCAACCTTTTAACTCACTAGAAGCTGGTATGTTGTTCTGCAGAACTACGTACTTGTAAAGCATAGTCTAAGTTCTTTTTGTCACTGAGAATTCATTTCTTCCTCATTCTTGGTACTGGTGCAAATCAGTATTTTTTTTTATGCTTCTACTCCTGTCTATCATGTCAACCAAGTTCTCATAATTCTATATTCTTTTTAACTGACTTTCCTTGTCTGCACATAAGACACTATCAAAGTCAACCATGAGGAGAAGTATCTTCTACTATGGGTTTTTTACTGGTGAACAGAGGGGCCAGAGCCACAGGAAGGCCCAAGAATGGGTAAAATTCTTCGCATTCAGATCTCATTTTGCATACCTGTGCAATACCACAAGGAAGTAAAAAAAAAAAAACAAAAAACAAAAACAAACAAACAAACAAACAAAAAAAACCCAAACAAACAAAAAACCACCCCAATCCACTCACCCGAACAAAAAACCCCACTGCACTTCATGACCACTGAGGGTTAACTCCGTTTTACACCTTTCTGAAGTTATAGTGACTGTGTCAGGAATGCTGCAAGTTGCCCTTTTGGGTCCTGAGGCCTCAGAGGAGCCGTCTACGTGCTCCTCTCATGGAAGTGAACCTCACACCTCCTGGAGGTCAGTGCGCAGTAGCTAAACAGAAGCAATGCACTTGGTAGTTCACTCCATAATCTGTTGAAGTATCCACATGTTTAACTTCACGGTTACTAAAAGCCATCATAGATAACTGCACATGCAAAACTACAGTGTGATCAAAGACTGCATTTAACAACTGTGTCAAGTAATGAACAGAGCATCTCAATTATCTACAAAGAAAACTAAAATCAAGGAATCTATTTTATAATTCCGAGATGGCTTCATTTTCAACTGACATTTAAGTGCTCAGTTTTTGATGACACAGTATTAACTCTACAATTAACATACTTGTTTGTGAAGAATTGTGCAATGTAAATGCTACCTGGGCTAGCACTTGCTACAGTTTGCATAAACAGCAAATAAACATTTCATATCTAAACTGTTTGAATTTGCTGGTGGAGAAAGAAGTGAAGCACCCAGTTCATGTCTTTGCTTTTTTCAAAAGACAGTCATTTAGATATTTGCACAGTGAAACTTATTTTCTATACTTCAAAACTCAAATTGACCCACTTGCTCCAGCATTTGGGCTGAACATATACAAGAAGTTTCAGCAAAAGCCAGTATGAATGCATATGCATTTGTTAATAATCTCCAGCAATGAAAGAGAAGCTTCATTATCAAATACAGTGACAAAAACCAAGGGTTTCAATAGAATTAATAACAAACAAAAAAAAAAAAAAAAAAAAAAAAAAAAGAGGGGGGAATTGCCAAAGAAAGACCATATGAAATTTAAAAGCCATGAAAGAAACAGTAGTTAGCTCTTCTTGTCAAGTAGTAACAAATAACTAATTTAAAGCTGGTGTGGTCAGCTTTCATCATGCAAAAAGCAGTTTCTCACAGCTGTTATCAATGCTCAAGGGTTTCAAGCAGCCAGTTTTACAGACTAAGAACTGACACAGTCCATCTCTCTCTTCTGCTTTATAACGAGGAAGAGGTGAGCTTGACTTACATTCCTTACAATATTTACCAACCAAAACCTAATATTGAAGATGAAGCTTAGTGAGGATACATTGAAATAACATACTTCCCTTCAGAGCTGAAGGAGAGTCTGGACTTCTCATTATGATTTCTGTCTGCAAAATGTTTCTCCCCTCAACTTATACATTGAGGAATAAGTTTATTAATGTCAACTGTCAGAGCTGCTGGCCTGAAAAAAACAAAGTGTAAACTCTCCTACAGGTTTAACCCACCCATCCCTCAACCTCCAAAGAAAATCAAGAAAGGGAAAATTCTCAATTGCCCTTGTACACATTACTCATACCTAGAAGAGCAGAAAAGTTTTATTTGGACTGGAAAATATTCTGTGATTGTCATGTGCATCCAGCTCCAGGTTAAGGAAATCCTGTATTCAGCACAGGTGAGAGCACTAGGTTTCTCAATGTAAAGTATTGTACTGGTTTTATTATCATATTTATATTTTGTTAAACTTCAAGATGAGAAACTTGTATACACTATGTTTTTCCATTTTATTTTTCATATTTGGTCTCAGTTCTAGGGTTTTGTGACTTTTTTCCTTTTGAGAAATGCAATTAGGTCTGTAATGTTTCTCTGGTGTTGTGTCCACCCCTATGCCCCAAGCCAGCTTCTGGAGGCAATATCCTTCATCACCAGAGGATTCCAAGAACTTGAAAATAGCCAGCAGCTCTCATACGAGCACTGCTCTAATTAGCTCGTATGTTGAACAAACAGCTATGGTTCTCCAAGAACAAAGTAGTATTTAAGAGCAAAAATTAAGACTGTCATACGAACATGAACAACTAATATTAAGTCTTTTTTCTATTTTAAATGGTTTCCCTCCTATTTACACCACCTCCCTCCTAACTCCATTTGCCTGAAAGTGAATTGGTCAACTAACAGCATTCATCAAAAAAGCTGCAAAACACTGTTTAAGGAACTTCAAATATTCATTCATTCCATCCCCCAAACCCAAACAGAATCAGCTTTCCAGTTTTATCAGAGATCTGTTATTCTCAAAGGTTTTGTAAGAGATTACTTAGCTTTCTTTTGACTAGACAGCTACAGCTTCTAAGAAAAAACCCAAGGCTTTTGTGGAAAAAAATTAAAAGATTTTTCATAATTTCTTCATCTTTCTTGCAGTTGAACTGTTGTTATTTTTAAAATGCAGTGGCCAAGGTGATATTCTGGCTAAGAGCAATGCTAAATAAAGTCAGAGGAGCACTTTATATATCTTACAGACAATCTCATTAACACACTCCAGTATGATATTTGCCTTTATTGAAAAAGCATCCCATGACTATTTAATATTCAGCTCATGGCCTGCTAGAGAATCCAAATGCTTTTCTAAAAGACTGACACAACCAATTACTCCCCGGCCTGTATTTGTGTAGTTGATAATATTTAGTATAGTTAACAACACTGTTAATTTTAATCCTGTTCTCAGAGTGATAATTCTTTTCTTTTTGGTCTCATTTGCAAATTTAATAAACAGGCTTTATTTGAGAAGTTTGCTAATGAAAATATTGATTAGTAATGGATGCAGGGACAGGCACTGACAGAGTCCTCCTCAATAAATCACATTAAGATAAGCTTCTAACATCTAAACCTGCAAGTTTTTTTCAAACAGTTCTGTACTTGCCTGACATTAACTTCAAGACCATATTTCTTGAGTTTGCTCATGAAACAGTCAAGACTTTTTTAAAAAATGCAGGTCTAGATAATGTTTTGTCATTATAGTTGGAAGTGCAGATTTTTTTTTTTTATTAAAAAAAAAAATAGCCAAGTCAACACAAGTCTTAACACTGATGCAAAAGCAACAGAAAGAAGCAAACCTGCTGGTCTAGCTTATTTTGTTCTAACTAGAACAGGCTGTCATTCATTGTCCGTACAAAGGTTCACCAGCCTACCTATGACAGCAAAAACTAAGAGTCAGGACAATTATTCAGGATAAACATGACCTTACCCTATTTTGGTTTAAGGTTTAAGTTTTGTGTTGTAACATAAATGAAAGAGAAACAGAAGTGTTAATTTCCAAATACCGTTTGCTACTCTGTACTCAGTTTTCTAAAAATATAAAAGGCAAGCAAGGAAAAGGACAGTTGAGTGTTGCCCAGTCTTTTAACACCACCACTCAGGGGATCATTAATCTGCATCTGGAAGGGGATAACGTTTTAATCCCTCTTCCTCCACCCGCCTCTCCCCAGTTAACAGTTGTATAATGTTTCCCTGAAGCAATAAATAAAACTGGCCCTATATAATGCAGCATATGGTCACCACCACAGTCTATCATGTACTGCTTGCCATCTTTTACAGTTTCTAAAGTCTGGATATGTGCTTGTTTAAATCAACAAATAATGAAGTAGTAAAATAATAAGTTTTAGTCTATCTGGTTTAAGAATTGATGTCAGAATAAGCATATTTCCAGTGTCTTCAACTAAATGGCTAGAAAGACTTTTGAAAGGAGAACACTGAAAGAAAATTGTTATTCTTGATCCTGAGAAGCACACATGGACTCTCTAGTGGTTATTCTGTATTCTCTGATTTACTTTATTAGTGCTAGTTTATAAAAGAATACAAGGCAAATGAAAGAAATAAAAAAAAGGCCTTTTTTTTAAAAAAAAAAAAAAACTAGTAGAAAAAACTCTTCTCAGTCTCAGATCTCTGAAAAGACCTTCCTTAAAATTAAAACAAAAAAGCTCAGACTATCCTTTCTTTAAACTTCACTTAATACATCAGCTACCTTTCTGCTGTCATGGTAACAGAGGTAAAGCATTGAGCAAAACCTTTCACTGAAATCTCATGCGAGTCAAGTTTTCTTGCATGCAATTATGCACCCAGACACAAGGAGGAGTAACAACAATGGGACCTGCCATCTGTCTGGCACACCTCTTGGCACTTTGAGAAGGAACAAAAAATTGCAGAACACAAAGTCAATCTGATATGTTCTGGTAACTAGCCATCCAGGCCTCAGTTTAATCCGAGACACACAGAAGTGAAAAGTACCCCTCTTTCTCTACTGATGTAAAATTCCTGACCCCTTGACTTTGCAGACTAAAAAGGTACGTGCTTTAATTTAAGCTTTATACTGAGACAGAGCATTTCAGTGTCTCTTACCAGGTGGATTCTCTTCTTAATATGAGTTCATGCTGCAAGGCCCAAAATGAACACTTACTTAAACGTTTACTTTGTAAATCTTGTAAGAACTACAAACAGAAGCCAAGTGAGACACAGCCAAAAACCTTCAATACACAGGCCATCCGCTGTTCCTCCCCTGTCCACAAGGAACATTATCCTGCCCTATAAGGTAACAGACAAGCTTGCCACAAGCTAAGAGAATACTGTTTAGCTGAAATTAAAGTAAGTACACACACCTCTATTGAAAAAAGTTTCACATATTAGTTGACAATCAAATTGTAAAAAAATATCGAGCAATATTCCGTGAGAGTCTGTCCTGGGTTCAGTACCACTAGTTTCTTCACAGATAACCAGAACATTGGAACAGTCAGTACTCAACATATCTGTGAACAATGCCAAGCTGCGGCTGGGGAGGGCAGGAAAGATGCTGCAAGAAATCGCACTATTAGAACTCAATACGACTCATGGAAGTGTGATTTAGTGAAGAGAAATACACATATCAGCATTTCCACATAAGTAATGAATAGCACAAGTACAGGAAAACAAGTAGCAACTGAGGAAGTCTGTAAAAAAAAGAAATGGACAGTTGGGGATCATAAGTGAGCTGAAATCAATTCCACACCAATAAAACAAACAAAAAAAACACAGAAAATTCACCAAACAAGGTCAACCGCATAAACAAGAGTTTACTACAACCTCAATAAGATTTATTTATTTTATTTATCCCTGACAAGGCCATTGGAACACTCTGTCCATTTTTGGACATAGTTCTTTACAACTGATTCACCTCTCTTGTAAGTGGGAAAAGGATACACAAAACATGTCCAGAAAAGGGTCTATAAAAAACACTTAACTACATTTCTTTTTTCAAGCTAAAGGATAAAAGATCGATACGTAAAGGAATGGTTTTCAGATACTTAAGAGTCCATGGTAGGGAAAAAGGAAACCAGCTTGTTATTACTTGCTCCTTTTCCAGAAGCCACAGAACAGCTCAAACTGCCACCAAGATGTACTCTAGGCCAACTGTTTCACAGTCATTCACTCCTCCCCTTTTTTTTTTTTTTTTTGTTTTATGGGCTCAAAGGACCCATGTAATGAATTTAAATTTAACAATACCACATCTGCTCTTCTTTGCTGCTCTTTGCTCAGCACTTTGCAACACTCACCTGCAGGACCTAAAGACTGGCATACAAGATTATTTTTTGCTTGTCTAAAGTCATTCCTAAAGGCAGGACCATTGATAAATTCTGTTCACAGTTAGATTTCAACAATATTTTGTTTTATTCTGCTGTACAGATTCCATGGCATGCCTTGGGTGCCAACTGTATGCAGGAATTGAAAGCGACCAACATTTCTCCTCTTTTAGGAGTCTGTTGTCCTCAAGAATTTAAATAGTTTAGCTGAACTCACTTCATGACGTTACAATTAGCTTAAACCAAGAAAAATTAGATGTTTATGACTTACAGGAATTTTAAAGTTTAAAATCCATTTAAAACAAGTTTCACAGAGGTCAAAGTCTGTTGCAGGAGATTAAGACTTGAAAATTAAGCACTGAGATTTGCATTCGGAGATAAAACACGATTATACACACAAATCAAACCAAAGCCCTGAAAATTAAACTTCAGTTACACTCACTGCATTTGCTCAGTTTAGTTTAAAAGTATGGAAAATTACTCCATAGGTTTACTTGCAAACAGCTTCAGTATTTGAGGGGCGGAAAAAAAAAAAAAGTTGTTTGTTTAAGATACTTTTAAAAAGGGTCACCTTATAACAAAACACTTCATAAGCTACTTCCTTAGTAAGGTGGAGCAGTAAGAAGGTATTTGTTTTAGGAAGCAATAAATCATTAACATGTTATAGAACAAACGTTAAAAATTGGAAAAAAGCAAAAAACACTTAAGCCATGTATTATAAATAATTGCAAGTAAAAGTGTACAACTACATCTTTCAAATACATTAAGATTTACCTGCAACACCATTCAATTCGGCCTTCCCCTTCACAAGTTTTTGCCCAGTGATTATCTGCAAGGTTCTTCATTGCCACAGCATATTCACACAGAGTTTCTTCATCCTCACAGTGCTCACGCCAGATCTTATCAAAGTCTCCCACTAAACAAAACAACAACAAAAAAAATTGCACATTAGATACAAAGTGTCTCATTATCTCCATGGCAAAATCCCCATCTTCCAATTAAAAGAAGTTACATAATGCACCAAGAGATTACTTTACCTGCCTGTAACAAAAACAAGGTCCCCTTTCTCTAGTCAAACACAAAATTCGAGGTTTTGGAGAAGGAAGGGGCTATCAGGTACTTGAGAAACTAGTAATATACTCAGTGTAGTGACTTTGTTCAGTTTGTTCTGTGAAATTCAAGTCCCCAGGAAGTTTAGCTTTCAGGTTTCTGTACATGAGCATTAACATGACAAACATTTTAGAAATTAAAGATTGAAAGGTTTCCTAGTAGCATTCATGTTCATGGCAAATACCGTGGATATTACATGCAAAAATGACAAAAAGAAAGTTTAACTCAGAATATAGGTTTCTTTGGACATGCTGGAAAAAGAATTCAGGCCTTCATTGATGTTCTCTCTAATCTAGCCAGTCCCAATTAATTAGTTTTTAGGGGACAGTACTGAAGAATCAAACTGACTACAGTCAGGAAATCACAGATAAACTCGTCTGCTGATCTCTAGGGACTGATTTATTTCCATGCTCCTCACCTTGCTGAAAAGAAGTCTTGCAGTTTAAGTTCTGGCACTTCAAAGTAATTAAACATGATGATTTTCCCTCTTTTGCTGCTAAGTATCCAATTCTCCTAGCTTGCTTTACATAATGTACTGCTAAACAAAAACAAGATAAATGCTGGTCATGGCTAGCTACAATTCCTATTGTGGTTTCTAGAGCACGTAAACCCTTGGTATACCTTACTAAAGGGACATTTCTGCCCCAAGAAAGAAAAATACATGCTCACTGGTATAGTCTTCACTAATTCCTTTTGAGTTTCTTAATCACCAATGTGTGCACACATGAAATATAAATATATATAAATCTGTAGAATAGAAATTATCTATAGATTTTGCACCTACAAGCTGATACAGCTAAAAACAAGTTTTCAAGAGCAGAGCTATATTTTAAGCTTTGACTTGGACAACCAACACACCTGTCACAACATGGTTCCAGCACCAGTTTTTATAGTACTTTCATATTACAAAGAAACATTTTAAAAGTGTATCAAGCATAAACTAACTATTAATGTCTGCTAAAGCCTGAAAGTAGCTTACAGTATGACCTGTCCTTCTCATACCAGTAAGAGATTTCTGTTTCTAACCCACTTATAGCAATTTCTTTGATGTGTTGTTTTAATTAGCAGTAAATAACAGATTTCTTCTGGTGACAACCTTTTTATTTCTTCTCTCATGTGCAAAGCAGTAACAATCCATCACCTCACCTGTCCTCCATTTACAGCGAGATTGGATATGATGGACAAGTACAGACAGTTGCATACTTAGAAGATTTAAACGAACCATCCAGGTTACTCCCTATTTAAGTTTGGTTTAGGGATGTCACAGCAATTTTCTCTTCAAAAATAATAATCCAGCACACTTGTACAATCATCAAAATGAGTCATGTTTAAAATTAGGTGTTTATACTACCTTGTGTGAGACGGCAGTTGAGATGGAAGGGAGTGGCCATGATTTAGTTTTAACAAAATAGGGAAGCTATGCAAGAAATCACGTATTCTTCTTGATATTCAATAAGCATGAGAACATTATTAGACTGGACAAAAAAAAAATGTAGTATTATATTTGACTGGTATCCCTCAATATTTCACAAATGATCTAAGTTCAGAGAGATATGCTTTATAAGAAAAGGCACTAGCATGGTCACCAACTGATCACTAGAGCAGAGAAACAGCCAAGTCATAGGGAGGCCCCCACAGAGGTTTCTGCTAAAACCTGTGGGTCACTATTCCAGAGCTTTCAGGAGAGCCTTATGCTGAAACAATCACCCAGGACAGAACATACTCAACCGATAAAAGAGAGCAATTAATAGTACAGACAGTGGCCTACCAGCAAAGGCGGCAAAACAGGCACAATTCTTACATATCTTTATTTCTCGTGACAACAAAGTGCAAAACCTATACAGCAACAAGCCAGAAAGTACTAGCCAAGTTCAAAGTATATTCTCAATAGCCAATTAATTCTGGTGCATTTTAGATGAAGTTTCATAATTTCTGTGCCACAATACTCTTAATCTTACTTGCATGCTCCAGACTGCGAAGATGATTAAATGACATGAAGTCAATAACGTTTTGTTTGAAGAATACACGGCTAATTAGAAAGGAAAAAGTGAATGAGTGAACGCTTACTGAGGGAAAGCATCACAAATATAAAATCCCAAGTTTAATACTGTTCTTCTTTTAGTCCATTACTTCATTTGGTCTATTCTTAAGCAATTATTCTATTTCCAAATACCACTTTTCCTTATAACGTAAGAAATAAGACAGATGGGGAAGAAGAAATATGCAAAGACCAGATGTTCTTAACTAGCCAGTCCTTTCTTACAGTAAAGTAGTGATGACTCCTAACACTAAATCCTGCCTTCATAGCAACTCTTGTCTCCTTCTGAACAAGGCAGAGATTTGCACCTCTCTCTGAAAGTCAGATGAGGGTCAAAAGAGCCTACAGATAAGGGATCTTAAATTTAGATATACAGCAACAGACCCAGAGCTGACTCTGGGACATGAACTTTGGGTTACAACAGAGCTGCCTATAACAGTAACAGCTTCTTGGCACCGAGCTGACAAGAAAATAAAACTAAATTATATAGACCATTAGGAGAGACATGCAGAACGAAAGTGAAAAATTCATCACAAAGTAATTCCGTCACACATCCTGTATCAGGCCAATTCTGTGTGCACTTCTGGTTTGTTTTCATCAACCAATACAGCAGGTCTAGAGATCTAGAAAATGGCAACATGGGACAGATACAGCACAGCTTCTGTAGGAGGGACACCAAAGTAGAGACAAGAAAATGGCAAGTGAAAGCAGGAGAGGACAGAACCTCCACAAGATCATGAGTGACAGAGGAAAGGTAATTACTGAACAACTGGTGGTGGTTCTAATAGTAGGAGGCATTCAGGAAAAGCATAAAAAGTCAGATTCAAAGTAAAAAAAAAAAGTTCACAAAATGTATAATCAAGCTTAAAGTTCACGTAGCTGGGCCACTAAGGGAAGAAAATTAATGAGAAACTCCATATTTGAAGAAGCAGTTTCTAACTCAGGAGCTCCTAGACCAGGAAATCACTGAAAGACAGAATGGTAAGCAACCATACAGTGCCAGTCCAGCAGCACTTCTCATATATTCTTGTCTAAGTATCTGCTGCTGACTCACTGCCAATACTAGGTTTGATATGATCCCCATTTGTCTGCCCTTTCATTAATGAAAGTTCCAAAACAACATAAGATAAAGGGGCTTAAGACACTGGCACCATTGTCCAGGCACTTTCAAAGAAGGGTCTGAGGTCCAGTTTCCCTCGAGCAACTACTATGGTAGTGAGTTGGTTTGGGTTTTTTATCCCCTATTCTTCTCTAGGGTGAGCTATGAGAAGGCACAATCAGACACATTAGATTTACAGGAACTTCAATTACAGAATTATGCTCCAATACTGAGTTGAAAATGCAAATAATGCTTCCTATCTGTTAAGATTTCAAGGTAGTGACTACAATAGGTCTTACAGCATCCAATTTCAAACTGATACGCAGACCACAGTAAGGTTACATACTAAATTTTTCAAACAATACATTATAATCCATGTGCAAATACTGCATTAACTCTACTGAAGTTAAACATTTATTTATGAATTATTGCTTGTGTAACCAAAAAGGCAGCAAAATATTCAGAGAGGTTTCACCGCAAAACTAATGGTTACTAAAGCAATAAGATAAATATAATCTTCTTTTAAGCAATCAATATTGCTATAAATTAAATAGAACTTGGTGGTAAGCTAACCTAAATGAATAAAAAGAAGTCTTGCATCTTCAGCCACATCTTAAAGTTAATATTTGATTTTGTGCATTAAACTTTTCATCACATACTCATGACCATACTGCAATACAAAGTTTAAGGCTACTATGCACTTGCAGATCACCTTTTATGTGATGTAAAAGCTGTTTTGAGCACTGACTCTTCAGAGATCTTCATGCACCTCAGATCTTCATCAAGGAATCAGTCATGCCAACATCCAGCTGAAAAGTGTAATTGGCAAGACTGGCTCATAACAGGAGTTTCACTCAAATCACTACAGTGACATTATTTTTAAATTTTTTAATGTTTGCTCTTCTCTCTACCCAGAATTGCCTAGAAAATAAATAAATTACTCTTCACCTTGAAGATTAACTATTCATTTAAAAGCAAAAAAGCCAAAAGCTCAACCCTTTCTAGCAATTCTGCCAGTAAACAAACGACTGACCATCTTGTAGGTTCATTGTAACACAGCCTTTTCTAATGCAATAACAAAAATCCAATACTATTTACCTGGAACAGATAAATCCCTCTAAATTGTTTCCATCCACATTAACACTGCCCACAGAATAGCCAAATCATACCCCCAAACTCAACCACAGAGTAATCAGCAGTTGCTGAATCCTGTCACAGAGAGAACAGGTCAGGCATGTAGAAGTTATTTTTAAATGATCCTAATTACAAGATAGTTTCAATTGTGGGCAACAGCAATAGAGACCGAACGTTAGCTGTAAGTGCCAACAACTGAAAACATTTTTAATAAAGAAGAATCATACAAGCTCAGTCAGAACTCCCCTCATTCCACATTTATTTACAAGATCTCATCAAAGGTCCCCAGCACAGCATCAGAAGACCAGGTTTGCCATTCTTGGTGGAACAATCCCACACCGTAACTCTTCATTCTAGGCAGTCAATCTTTAAGAACAAAAATCCAGCTTTCTTCCATCCTATTTTTTGTTTGACTTTTTTGTTTTTAAAAGACATTTCTTTATAGAGTATTAAAGGAAACTGTCGTTTCAGGTATGTATATGAAAAAAATAGAAAAATTAATTAGTCATTCAACTTCTGACTGAACAAATCATAT